TGGAGATGGAGCAAGACTCTGTCGCCCGGACTGGAGTACAGTGGTGTGATGTCAGTGCTCTGCAGCCTCCACCTCTCGGGTTCAAGTGATTCTCTTGCCTCAGCCTCCTGAAGCTGGGATTATAAGGCACACCACCATGCCCAGGGAATTTTTGTATTTTTAGTAGAGATGGGGATTTCACCATGTTGGTCAGGCTGGTCTTGAACTCCTGACCTTGTGGTCTGCCCACCTCAACCTCCCAAAGTGCTGGGATTATAAGCGTGAGCCACTGTGCTCAGCCTCATAATCCTAATTTTAAAATCTACTGTAAACTTTTTTCCTGGCATGTGTTCCCACTGTGAATCCAAGTTAAATTTATAGAACTTGACTCTGGGGATTTAGATTGAAATCTGGTATGTTTATTGATAATGTTAAATACGTGATTTGTAGAAACTAGAAGTCAGGGTTTTCTTAAAATAGAAAAAAAAGCCTGTCTGGTTTCTAAAGCTGTTGTCCCTTCTGCCTACCCCCCACTCCATTTTACAACTGATAGTGTTCAGGTAATGAGAGTATAAATTAACATATGTAAATTGGCTAACATAATGCTTGGCATATAGTGGATATTGACTAAATGTTAGTTTTGTTTTACTTTAACAGTTCAGTCCTCTTGATATAAAAATAAAAATATGTGTTTAGCTAAAAATATATTGATTGTTGTTAAATAATTCTGACAGCTTTATTGAGATATAATTGGCACACAGTAAATTGCACATATTTAAAGTACATAACTGAATAATTTTTACATATGTATATCTCATGAAACCATCATAACAAAGATTTAAAATATCTAACAAGATAACAAATATAGACAGACAGTGACAATCAGGATAATGTATGTATAACCTCCCAAAGTTTTCTCCTGCCCCTTTGTAATCTCTTTCTCCCACCCAGTTGCACCCTCCCAACATTACTGAGCAACTACTAACCTGCTGTCACTCTAGATTAGTTTGCATTATCTAGAGTTTTATAAAAATGGGCTTATAAAGTATATAAATGGAATTATGCTATATGGTGATTTTATGCTTGGTTTATTTTTCTCAGCCTCATTATTTTGAAATTAATCTATATTGTGGCATGTTAATAGTTCATTGTTTTTTTTTTTCTTGTGGCAGAGTCGTCTGTCACTCTGGCTGGAGTGCAGTGTTGCAAACATGGCTCACTGCACCTTGACCTCTCAGGGTCAAGTGATTCTCCTGCCTCTGCCTCCCTAGCAGCTGGGACCAGAGGCATGTACCACCATGTGTGGCTAATTAAAAAAATTTTTTTTTTTCTGTGGAGATGGGGTCTCATCATGTTGCCTGGCTGGTTGCAAGCTCTTGGACTCAAGCAATCCTCCCATTCAGCCTCCTAAAGTGTTTTGGGATTACAGGTGTGAGCCACTGTACCTGACTGTT